ATAAATTTTCGGAACCATGAACAGGTTTGTAGAAAAGTTCGTAAATGCTTAAGGTTAGATGGTATTTTCGTTTTGAGTACAGCACTCACCTTTTCTGGATCGGTTGAAACCCCATCTTAAGTGATAACGTGGCCGAAATACTTAACACTTAATAGCACACTTCTCCCTGTTCACGTGGAGGTTGAACTCGGCCAGACGCTTGAAAACTATCTCGAGATCCTGGAGGTGTTGTGAGAGTCAATCCGATATGACCAAAATATCATCTATCTAGGCCAGGATAGTAACGTCCTGTAGTGCTGGACAAGAACGGAGCCGATCTATGAGTCTCTGGAAAGTCGCAGGCGCGTTTTTGAGGCCAAAAGGCATGCGCTTGGAACGATTCCAACTGCGATCCAAACCAAGGGGCATTTAGGATCGCAGTTGTATTCGAAAAACAACAGTTGAAGGACGTGATTAAACAATTGAATGAAATTTATAATAGAGTGGATGGAGAAGCGGACATTAATTTACCTATAAAATTAACAAATATTGTAGATGTTCTTCCTTCCTCTAGCAGACAGGGCGGACAAGGAGATCAGCGACCTTCTGCATCAATTCGCCCCACTAGAACATTTAATTCTCCATATTATGCCCCTCATAAAACCCTACCTATAGTAACGTGCACGGACGTTACAGTACCTAGAGGCGATATAAAAGCAGTTTTGTCTCTGTCTGCCTCTTGTACACTGACCTGCTAGTATGAAGACCGAAGATCTAAGGAGCTTATGAAGCAGTTCCTCTTCGTACCTTGCATCAGCTCGTCGATGCGTGGCATCGGGTAGGTATCAGACTTGGTGATGGCGTTTGAACGCCTGTAGTCAACGAAGAACCGTATGCTTCCATCGGACTTCGGCACCAACAGTGCCGGGGAGCACCAAGCTGATTCACATGCTTCTATTATATCTTCTTGCAGCATTTTATCATTTTCTTTCTTCATTAGTTCCTTTTTTGAAGGATTAAGGCTTTAAGGAGGTACGGCTATAGGGGCGTGCTCACCTGTGTCTATCCGGTGTTCAGCATACGGAGTAGGATCTCCACCTTGTGCAAAAATGTAAGCGTGCCTCGATACCAAGTCTGCAAGAACGTATCGCTCTGCTAGCTTAAGGTGCTTGCCTTCATCTTCTCTGAGAACATCCGCAGAGGCGCAGGAAACAACACGATAAGTAGATTCAAATAATAATTTATATTGTTTGTTATTATTATTACCAAAATACCAAATTTTATTATAAGAGTCATTTATCACATCGGCAGAGGTAATAAAATCTATTCCCAATAATGTTTCATTATTATTTAATTCGGGAAAAATAAGAAACGGTACTGTAATCACTAACCCCCGGTTTCAATAACCAAAAAACTAACTATGCTACCAAACGTAGCATTTCCTACCGATGGTAGCAAAAAAGTGTTTCAATAACATACCATTGGTAGGTAAAGCTACCGATGGTGTGCTACTAACGGATTGATCTGATACTGATAACCGTTCGTAGGCAATGTATGAAAATGGCGCAAAAAGGTGTTTCAATAAAAAAATCTATCCGTCGGTAGAGCAGTCAAACTTACTATCCGTAGCTTATCTGTCAAATTTGCCTACCGGCCATTTTCTATCGGTTATCGTAAAAATATTAATTCAACAACCGTTCGTTTTTGCGTTTCACAATCATCGGTAGGCACCTACTAACTACGAACGGTTGTCGGTTGCTCAAAAAATGGTCGATAGCTGCTACCGATGGTTGTCGGTATTTTATTGAAACCGGGGGTAAGTGTTTTAGTTTTACCGGTAATGATGTAGTAAGTACATCCATGCTCCTGACATGACCGTCAGCAAGTTATACCTGCCTGGATGAACGGTTGAGAGGATGACCCTTTTTTATAAGGAGAGCGTATAGCGTATGACCGGCAATACAATGTTTAGCTGCAGTATCTACCAAAGCAGTTCCTTCTGCATTTAAAATTTCTATTTTAAATATGGGACGCAAATTCGGTAAAGAAGAGGTGTCGGCGTGCGCACTACCGTGTGATGAAATAGTACACACATTAGAAAATAACGTTTGACACATAATTGAATCATCTATTTTACCAGAAAAAGTTTCGTCACATAAGACATTACAATCAGATTTACTGTTTATATCATACACTGTGGTATAAACATTGCTCTTATTATTAAAAGGTAATAAACATTGCGATAAAACGACGTCATTATTGTTAGTTAAAATTTCATGCAAATACACATACACTGTGGTCGTATGATTTTCGTTATAATGTGATTGAACAAAGTTATTATTATTCATATTTTCATACAGAATCTTACAATTAGAGTTATTGCTAAATACATTAACTGTGTTCAATTTCTGCTCATCAAAATCAATTGTAAAATATTGCAAAAGAAAAGAGTTCTCGTTACATCTAGCATACAATGTTCATTTTTCAAAAAAATATCGCTATTCTCTATACGATTATTATCTGACGATGACAAATTAGAGTAATTTGGAGGGGCATTATTTACAAAAGAACTTACACTATAGAAAGAGTCCTTGTGATTGTTACTATAATTATCACTGTCACTTAATTTTGCAGGAAAGTTATTATAAGGTTGCGACTCACCTTTATTTTCTAACTTACGGCACTGATCACGTGTATGCCCATACCTACGACAGTACGAGCACACAGAACACAGAGAGCACATAGGGCATTGCGGCTTGCGCGATGAAGTCGCTGATGCTGGCGACGATGACATAGGGTTACCACGGGCGGCACTATAGCGCCCCGTAGGAAGCGGCGGCGGCGGCGACACTCGCGGCGGTTGGTGACAAATGGTTACTTGTGGACGAACTTGCCACAACGTACGCGGCTGGTCGATGCGTCGCGGCAGATAAACATTGTGTGGTAGGAGTCATCGCTAGCGGTGAGCTTGTTACGTCAGCGGTACGGGCTGGCAGGCGGTGCATTGCGGCTCTCAGCGGCGGCGTCCTCTCCCCCTCGTCCATAGTCTTCTATATTCCGAGCGTGACGTAATAAGTCTGAAAAACTTTGGAAGTCTACGCGGCGTAACCTCTCTTGTTATTCGTTTATGTAAAAACCCATAAGTCATATCGAGTTGCGCTCTTGTGGAAATATCTCCCTTGGGTAATCGAGCCATAAGGGCACATACTCTTGCAACAAATATATCTGTGTTTTCATTTTTCTGATGAGAAGAAAAAAATTCCAAATAAATACGGTGGGGTGGACGGCGAACTTCATTAGCACCGATCAAGTTCTCTTTTGCTTCTTGCCATGTATTTATTTGGTTTTTGATACCTAACCACCATGTGGATGCACTGTCCTTGAGGAGCATCGACAGACCTTTGAGTATGTTCACGTCGGCGACTTACACACAATCTATGTAGCTATCGACAGCGTCGATGAATGTTTGTACATTTTCGTGTGCGCTTCCGCTGAAAGTAGCTTTACAACGCTCCATTGTAGCTATTTTACTAAATGGTGTTGATGTCCTCGACCGTAACATGAATTCGACTACGATCTTTAGAGAGTCGAGTAGAGATGCTACGTTCTCCTGCGTAAACGTCGCGGCGGCTACGCCAGCGGCGTGACTCGTCGACTCCTCAGCGGCGGAGGGGGCGGCCGCATGCAAGGAATCGTCTTCATCATATCTATTATTCCTCGTATTAGGCATTATCGATGTAGACACAAGTTCAAAAAACGTATGTAAACGACACGCGCACTGAAAAAAATCAGTCACCACAATATACTCGAAATGGCTTCGTTTTCACTGCACTTTTATAAATCACATTGGGCTGCCAGATTTGAGAGATATTTCTCAGGGTTCGAAAAGAAAACAAATCTTAATTTGTTATTTCGCCTTTTGGTACAGTGAGATTGCACAGAACTGATTAAGCTTAATCACGATTGACACGATAGCGCACGCAGTTCCCTTTGAGAGCTCGTGGCCAGGCGGTTGTAACTTCATACAAGTGTAAAATTTTACCTAGAGGGGCAAAATTTTATGATGAAAGACCCAAATAATTTTTCATAATACCATATTTTTAACTGGCAACTAAGATTAAATAGTAAGGCAATGAAATGAATCTGCAGTGTTGCCTCATGTTATCACTTTCACACATTTTAGTAGTCTCTGATAGTTGTCTTTTACCAAACACCAACATTTTACTAAGTCAAATAAATGGTACACTTGACTTTTATTTGTTTTGAGTTGCAATCGTTTTAATTTTAATTTATTGGAAGGCATCATTGTTAAAATTAGTAGTAGTTATTTTTTGTAACTGATATGGTGTAATAATGGCTATTTGTTTTGTTGTTGTGCCATGCCTTGCATATGGACGATGACGATTCCATCATGTTATAACGTTGAACCTCTTTGCTAGAGGTTTAGTTTTATTTATCTCTATGTTAATAATTTCAAAATGTCAGTGACAAAGAGTCTACATCGACAAAAAGACGTCATTAATTAAAAAATGCTTGATCTTACATGTGTTTTTAATTATATAATTGGCGACGAGTTTAATAATAATGGATGCGAACCAATTTAACGCTTTTTTAAAACAACAAAATCAACTGACTGAAATACTACGCATTTTAGCAGTTCAAACACAACAAAAAACAGAAACAAAATCATTGAACAATGATGATGACAAATGTAAGAAAATAAGCCATTTTACAAACGATAAATTTAACCCTGAAAAAGCAACGGTGAGTGAATTTATTGAATACTTTGAAGAAAAATGTAACATTTATGGTCAAGAATATCTGAAAATACAGAAAGACATTTTTATTACCTGTTTGCCACCAGATATATTTCATAAAATAAAAACATCATTCTTGTCGGATTTTCATGAACGTTCGTATGAAGAAATCAAAACAAAATTATACAGTTTTTATGCAATAAAAAAACAAGATTCAAAGCTCTTACTGAATTCTGGAGTTGCACGAGAAAGGAAGGTGAATCCATGGAAACATACGCCAACAAAATCAAAGAACTTAGTAAAGACTGCGGTTATGAAGGCCACTTCTTAGAACGTCAACTGCGTGACCGTTTTGCATCAGGTCTTAACCGTGAAACACTACAGATAGATTTGAAACAAAAATGGCTGGACTTACAAGAGCATAACAATGTTGGAAGAATGGTAGAAATAACATTTGAACAGATTTTTAACATTGCACAATTGAGAGAATTAGCAGAAAACGACACTCCTTGTAACTCTGATAACTTACACCGCATTCAGCAAGGAAACGTAAACAAACGATTTTTAAAAAGTTACAAACAACGAGTGTTGAAAAAAAATCATTGTAAAAGATGTGGTAAAACAGACAAACACACATTAAACGATTGTGCCGCAATCTCTTACATTTGCAAGGCATGCAACATAAAAGGTCATTTTGAGAGCTGTTGTTTAAAATCTGGGAGAGCAAAGATAGAAGGCAATATTTCAAATAAAAGAGAAGTAAGCAACGTGATATCAGGGGAACATAATTTTTATGATAATAACGATACGGATAGTAACAGTAATGATGATTCAAGAATACACAAAATTAACGTACATAACATGAGATGTAAGAAAATTGACATTCATATAAATGGCAAAGCATTAACAATGGATTGGGACCCAGGATCAATTTATTCAATCATAAGCACAGCATTTTGGAGAAAGATTGGATCTCCAGAGTTAGTGAAGGGACCTAAATTGCGTGCCTATGGTGACCACAGATTAAAACCTAAAGGTCTCACCGATGTTACAGTAGAAGTTGATGGCAAACAAAAGATACTCCCTGTGGTCGTTATTAATTGTGCTAACCACATGCTGTTTGGATTACAATGGAGTGAAATGTTTAATATGAATTTCCCTAGTTCTGTTTACTCAATCAAGACTGAAACATTACCTTAACACTAGAAAGACGGGAAAATTCATCTACCTACAAAGACGGCGACCGGTCAAATGACTGCCTCAATTTATTTAATTTTTTTTTTATTTATTTGCTAAAATTAGTAACTATAGTAATGAAACAGAGTATAATATATAATTATTTATTTAATTCACATACAATTATTACATATTAAGATTTTATTTACGTTACAAGGGCCGCAAAGTGGCTTTTTGCAAGAGTCGCATAATTTATTTGTTTTATTTTTGCACTTTTGCATATAGCATTCTCGCCTTTTTCGACTTTCCGGATTTTGTAGTGTAGATCGAGAACTAGAAGGTGTTGGTTCTTTGGGCGATAGTTCGGTTTCAGAGGGTCTCGGTTCAATTTCTACTTTGCCGCTAAGTTCACTTGCTAAACTTAGTATAAAATTCCTTCGTTTTATGTTGGTGCCTGACATTTTCTTATATAAAATGAAGGAATTTATCCCTGCTAGGTCCAAAATATTGAAAAATACCTGTACAGGCCACCTTCGAGATGCTGCTTTGACACTATATTTTTTTGCCATCTGGTCAGCCACATCCACGCCGTACTTGGTAGCATTGTAAAAAGTCACAGTTTCTGGCTTTTTCTTAGGATGATTTGAATCTATTTCAACATTGTCATGTAACGTGCTGAGCAATGAAACGTTCTTGTTTCGTTTTCCTTGATAAATCGTAAGAGTACATCTATCAGATTTCAGAATTTTTGTTTCAAACAAAGTCATATGAAGTGATTTGACGTAAAGTGGAACCTCTCGTCGTGCCCTGTTCAAAGTTCCTACAATTGTAGTGCGTTTTGCGAGCAAGTTATTTGCCAAGCTCAACGATGTAAAGAAGTTGTCAGTGGTTACATTCCGACCAGTATTTGCAAAAGGTTCCATGAGACGCATTACAACGGATTCACTGAGGCTTTGATTTGGTGGCCTGCTTTCATCTTTTCCTAAGTAAGGAAAGCCGTTGAGTACAAATTTTGAATCTACATCAACACAAAGCCAAAATTTAATTCCAAACTTATCAGGCTTGTTACCAATGTATTGAAGAAACCTGCATCTAACCTTAGTAGAAAACAGTTGTTCGTCTACTGTAACGTTTTCTCCCGGCTTGTAGCACGATAAACAGTTCTCAATTAATTTCTTCCAAACGTCTGATATTAGTGTGAATTTGTCTTGTTGAAGTCGTGAACTTCTCTCAGATCTGTGATCAAATCGCAAATACTTCATTATTTCTTTGAATCTGTCACGTGACATAACTTTTGAAAAAAAAATTATTCCCCAAGTTTTACTCCACAACTCATTTACTTGAATATTTTTTGCACCGTATGCACCTCGAGCATAACATATAGCGATCAAACTTTCCAGTTGTTCCAAAGTTAGTATCCAGTTATTGTGTCCTAGTTGTCTATTAGCTTCTTCTATAGTACACTTCTGAATATGTCTCAATATAGATTCATCAATCAAAAGCCTCCACGAGTCTGACAAATGTCCCTTGAAATTTCTTTTTGCATATGAGGTAGGCCCTGCTTGCTCAGTTATAATATTGTGGCGTGCCCGGCGACCACTTTGAGTAGATTCCATTTGAGGTGTCCATAAGAGAAAATGGAATCATTCGAGAATCCAGAAGTCCATATGCGTCACCAGTCGTTTTAGTCAAGAAACCTGATGATACATGGCGATTTTGTGTCGATTATAGGAAGCTGAATAAGAAAATAATTACGGATTCATATCCACTACCCTTGATAGAAGATCTGATTACGCATCTAAATGGAGCCAGATATTTTGCCGATCTAGATTTAAATTCTGGGTATTGGCAATTGAGTATCAAGGAGACCGATAAACACAAGACTGCGTTCGTCACACCGTCGGGATTATATGAATTCAATGTCCTACCTTTTGGTCTAAAGACTAGTGGTGCTATTTTTCAAAGAACCATGGATAAAGCTCTCGCGGGATTGAAGTATAGGTGTGCAATAATATATGTAGATAATATTATTGTGTACGGAAGAACATTTAAGGAATTCTACGATGCTTTGGACCAAGTTTTATCAAGATTAAAAGAAGTGAATTTAACTCTCAAACCATCAAAATGTAATTTTGGTTTTAATAAAGTTTCTGTTTTAGGTCATACTATTTCTGGTTTTGGAATACTTCCAGATGAAAATAAATTACATAAATTAAAATTTGTAAAGACTCCTACGAATACAAAAGAATTAAAATCAGTGTTGGGTTTTTTTTCGTATTATAGAAAATTCGTTGACAAATTTGCTTTGTTGACTGTACCATTAAACAAATTATTACTACGTTGCCAGAAGCCGCCACATGGTGGAGGCGCAACGTTTCGAAATACAGCGATACCTGTCGTAAGCCAAGCGGGGAAAACATAAAAGCAAGAAAACATAGAAGCGAGAAAACGAAAATGGAGAAATACGACGGACTAAAAGGTGATGTGGCTGATTTTTTTTCTCAATTTAATATTATAGCAGCAGCAAATGGATATCAAGAACCGACTAAAAAAATAGTGTTGGCGGCATATTTAGCGGGACCTGCACTGTTATTTTATAATAAAATAAAAGACAATTGTGAGAATTTTCAGGAACTCGAGAAACAAATTAGCGAAGAGTTCTCTTCAACTGCAAATCCTCTCGCAAAATTTTTTGCTAGAAGACAGGGTGCAACGGAGGACCCACTCAATTATTTTTATTCGTTAGATTATTTAGGATGTAAAGCAGGGGCGGCAGTTGATGATAAATGCTTCATCCAGCATTTTCTTGGGGCAGCAAATTTTCAAACCAAACGGCGTTTAGGATCGCAGTTGTATTCAAATAAACAACAGTTGAAGGACGTGATTAAACAATTGAAAGAAATTTATAATAGAGGGGATGGAGAAGCGGACATTAATTTACCTATAAAATTAACAAGTATTGTAGATGTTTTTCCTTCCTCTAGCACACAAGGCGGACAAGGAGATCAACGACTTTCAACATCGACTCGAACTACCAGAAACTTCAGTTCTCCATCTTTCACCCCTCATAAAATCCCACCTCCCGATCAGATGATGCCCCGCCCTTATAATTTCAGACCAAGAAATAATACAAAGCCGCAGCCAATGATGATTAAGAAGAATAGTGAAAGCCACACAAAAGCAGCCGAGGCGATTGAAGTTGTAGCTGAGGACACACAGCCGCCTCACTCAAAGAATATATACGCACGTGAGTTTCAACCATTTATTAAAGTGTCGTGTCGTGATAGAAAATTTATTTCGCTCATTGATACTGGTGCGTCATTTTCGGTCATTTCGGATCGTGCCGCGTATGAACTCCGTCACGATATTGTGCCATGTGATATGTCACTTCGGGCAGTGAATAATGTGAATCTCGAAGTGATCGGTAAAGTCAATTTAAAGATTATTATTGAACATGTCTTGTTCATTCATGATTTTTATGTTGTTAAAAATATTGATCGAGACATGATAATAGGACAAGACTTTCTATTCTCTCATAATGTTGTCATAGATTTTAGTAGGCATCAATTATATGTCAAACACATAGTATGTCAATTTTTGACAAAGTCTGAATTGAAAAAAGAGAATAATGTTGTCGATGTCTCTAATAATTATTTATATTCTTATAAAGAAAATGATAAATATTTACATGAGTCACATGAAGTGAATGCGAATAAAGATAGTTCTAATAATAATATTTCTCTTGAGTCAAAGGAGAATAATAATAACAAAAATTTAGTTATAGAAGATAAGTCTTCTTTAAAGAGAGAAAATACAAATAATAAGAATTTTGTTCATAGAAAAATTCATGAACAACATAAGATCTTTAGAAAAACATTAATTTTCTATAATCGCAATTTAGATCGAAATGTGAAATCATCACATGACATTAGAGATAGAAATGTCAATTTTTATTTGATGAGCAATAGACAAAATATTTTTAATTCGTATTCTTTTCAGAAAAGTTTACGTAATAGAAAAGATAGGATACATTTGTTAAATTGTCGTAAGGAAAGGACTGATCTCAATAAGGTTAGGTTGAGTAGGTTGAATGTAGACAAATATCAAGACAGATTTCCTTATCAGATAATACGTCCAATTGATAATAATAATATTATAATAAGAAGAATAGGAACTTATAGGATAAAGGTAGTCCATGCTAATAAAATTAAACCATTTAGAATTCGAGGAAGTAGGTATTAGGTTAAAGTATTTTCATTATTATAATAATAATTCTTAATTGTTATTATAAGTTAGGTGATAGATATTTAAAGTAATATGAATTTTTAAGTTTTCTAAGTCATATAATGATAATGTTGAAGTTGTAATTTAATTTATTTTCTTTTATTCAGGAACTATGACAGGTTCGATTCCTTGTTCAAGTTTAGTTGATAGTGAGCTAATTTCGAATAATAATATTAATTCAATGTGTGTTTAACATATATTGTCATATGAAATACTCGTGTATTATTATTAATTATTTATTGTAAAATTTTAAGGATGTTTGTTAATACTGTTTAATTGTTTCATGTTCATACTTCATCTGCCGGATTCCCGTAAGAACATGATGAAGCTGGCGTGTATCCTGACGTCAGCAATACGGAGGGCCTACTATGAAGCATCTCTGTTGATAAGTCGACAGACACCCACTTCGTGTGCGCGTCGTCATTATTATTGTATCGCGCGTAGTGTTTATACATAGGCATTGCGAGGGTCGGGGAACCCATCTGGTTCCATAGGAATTGGGTTTCGTCTTGTTTGATGCTGGACGTCCTTAGGCTCCATATGTCAGTTTGTTGTCTCATGGGTGTCAATGATTTATCATGGATGCTTATCAGATATACACATTGTCATTGGCCATATCCGTTTGTTTATTATTATTGGGTTGGATATTAACTATAATTGATTCGATTTTGATTGATTTTAACTACGGGAATCGGGAATATCATATGATAGCTGTATTTAAAATAAAGTTTGTCGTGTTTGGGTTTTGACGTCATCCAATATCAAACTTAGGGTTTTGATGATTGTAGTCATTTGGGAGACGTACAGGTGCTTTTATTGAGGTTTTGCACTTGTAG